GCGCGCCGACGCCGCACGAGCCTGCCGTAGGAAAGGGGCGTGGTGCAAGGGGGTGTGGTGGCCACGCTGCTGCACCTGGTGCATCTGGCGATGTTCTCAATCGCCGATAGCATCGCCGTTTCCACAGCCCTTTAGGCCACACACCTTTTCCGACCTCCACAGGAGTCCCCCGACCCGCTCATGTCGCCGCAGGCGCCGCGCCGAGCCAGACCCCAGCACCAGCGCGCGCGCGCCCGCGGCCACCGCCGCGGCCGCGGGTTGTGTCGATTCCGTACTCCGCTCCCCCTCCCAGGTGGAACAATTTTTTTCGCCGCAGCGCGGCAGAGGCAATCCGCACGCGCGGTCTAGTAGCCCGGGGGCATGGCGTATGCATGGTCCGGCGGCACGGGGGAGGGAAGGAGGCGGATGGCGACCGCGGAGAGCGGGCGGTGGAGGAGGGCCTCGGCAGGAGTGGCCAGGGCGGCTGGCCACTGCTGAGGCGACCTAGCAGTGGACGTGAGTTCAGGTGGGAAAACACGGCACTTTCCCCAAACACTGTGGAAGCATGGTTGCCGAAATCGTCCAGGAAATTTTCTTGGGCCGCAAGGTCCCCAGGTGGAAGCTTGCACCGCCTATCCCCAGGTCGGATCCACACCCGGGGCCCCACCAGATGTACGTAGCACCCCGCAGTTGCGGATAAGAGTGAGGGGGCGGCGGGGACGTCGGCAGTCTGCGAGGCTGCCAAAAAGCTTGTCGCAAGCGTTTAAATCTACAAATTTGATAACGAGCTCGCCGAAGGCGCCGATTGTTTCGTTAAAGCAATGTGGGTGGGTCGCGGGGCGGGTCGCGGGTGGGTCGCGGGTAGGTCGCGGGTGGATCGCGGTTGGGTCGCGGGCCGGGTCGCGGGTGGGTCGCGGGTGGGTCGTGGGGGGGTCGAGGGCCGGTCGCGGGCCGGGTCGCGGGCGGGTCGCGGAGTGGCTCGCGGGTGGGTCGCGGGTGTGTCGCGGGCCGGGTCGCGGGTGGATCGCGGGTGGGTCGCGGGCCGGGTCGCGGGGGGGACAGCGACAACAAACACCAAACAACCAAAACAACAACAACAACAACAACAACAACAACAACAACAACAACAATAACAACAAAAACAACAACAACAACAACAACAACAACAACAACAACAACAACAACAACAACAACAACAGCAACAACACCAACAACAACAACAACAACAACAGCAACAGCAACAGCAACAACAACAGCAACAGCAACAGCAACAACAATACCAACAACAACAACAACAACAACAACGACCACCACCAACAACAACATCATCAACAACAACAACAACGACAACATCATCAACAACAATAACATCAACAACAACAGCAACAACAACAACAACAGCAACAACAACAACAGCAGCAGCAGCAACAACAACAACAGCAGCAACAACAACAACGACAACAACAACAAACAACAAATAACCACAATAATCCGCGCCGCAGAACCTCACTTCAGCCACGCGCCTAGGGACAGTGAATGACCGTTCGGCGCCCTCACTCTGATTTTGAGGTCGTGGAGGGTGGCCATGCAGGGCGGAGTGGAGGGAGTTTATCTTTATTCCAGCGGGACTTGCCCCTGCACTTTGCTACCGTAGGGTTCCACCGCTTTCGAATTGTTTCTCGAATCTCTGGCCCTGGATGGACCAGCTCAAACCATGAACGAACGACTTGCACAGGAAGGTAATGAACAGGATCCTCCTGCTGCTGGCCACGTGAAGACGAGGCGCATCCAGCCGCTGTGCAGCCGTACTCGGGAATGTACCCAAAGCCTCGAACCAGTTGGCTGCGAACTCGCCTCAGGACGGATGGGCCAATGCCTTGGCTCTGGTGCCCCCAGACGAGTTGTGGCCGGGCTCCCGTGCGAACCGACTTTCTACCTTCCTTGGCAGTCCTGGTAAGCTTCTGGATCCCGCGGGGTCTCTGGAGTCCTCTCTCTGCGTGCGAGCCTTTCGGGCCCCTACCGGACGACGAGTCCCCCGTGTGGTCTCTTTGGCTCCAGCTGGCGGCTCCCACCGCTGCCACCGCCTGGGCTGCACGCCCCAGGGCCAGGGGCGATGGCCCAGACTCGCTCGTCGGCCGCCGGGGCCAGCGAGTCTGGCCGCGCGGCCCACCGACGCCGCCCAGGCGAGCGAGACGCCCAGCGAGACCAGCGCCAGGGCGGAGGCCAGGGCCAGCAGCGCGCGCCGCCGGGGGCACTCCAGCCCCGGCAGCGGCACGGACCTCGTCTGCGCGGAGCCGCTCCTCGACCCGCGGCGGGAGCGGGCGAAGACGGACGTGGAACGTGGAGTTCCGCCAGCGTGCCAGGAGTGAGCTGCGAGCTGTACGGGCTGATCCACCACACGTGGCCGAACGCGGTCGGGAAGGACCCGGCGCTCAGGCACACGCACGTGCTGGAGGCGGTGTACCGGCTGATCTCTTGCAGCAAGCGCGACGGGCCCATCTTCCAGGACGAGTTCTGCGCCAGGTGGTCCCTTGTCGAGAGCATCAGGCGTTGGAGATGCTCCCCAACATCAAGGACGTAGATGCGCTGGTAATACAAGGTCTGAATATGCTGTCTGACAAGTTCAATGAGCGCGACTGGGCCCTCGCCATCGCGGAGAGACTGATCGGCACCAGCAGGACGGCTTGCAAGGAGATCCCGATCTTCTCGCGCAAACGGGCGAAGTTCTATTTCATCTTCGACGCGCCCATCGCGCAGGGCATGCAGGGCAGCGCAGAGAAGCGCGTCTGCCGTTGCGCCGTAGGCTGCTTCGACGCGTGGTGCCACGCCACGAGGAAGGAGTGGAGATACCTGCCCTCGGCCCGCGGGACATCGGCGCCGGGTCAGCCGGCTGACAAAGGTGGTCCAGCGCGGTCGGTCGTGGCCGCAGCCCTCCAGCAGCCAGTCTACAGACCCGTCGGAAAGATCTGGAGATCTGGAGCCAAGCCAGGAATGAGCAGGTCCGACAGGTCGGAGCGCTCCTCCAGGGGCGGCAAGGAGAGGGAGGGCTTGCCTGCAGCGAGCCGCAGCGTGAAGAGCTGCACGGCGAGCAACGGCACGACCAGGAACTGTACGGCCAAGAACGGCCTTTCCCGCGGGGAGCACTGATGAGCTCAAGCCAGGGTGGTGTTTGCTTGTCTGTCGTTCTGTGCAGGGGGAGCGATCGCGGAGCGCCCTCCTTGTTCAGAGCAGCTCCACCAGGGGCGGTGCAGTTGAGAAGATGCCTTACACTTGGGGGGGAGGAAGCCAGCACACATCGCCATGGCAGCGCCAGACGAAGGAGTCTCGCCCGTGGCTGCGTAGGCCGCTGGTGAGGTAGTTTCCGGGTGTTCCCGGCAGCAGCTCTCGAATGAGTGCCCCTCGGCCCAGGGCCGGCAAGATTGGCCGACCTCCCCCGGGTGAAGGCTCGGGGGGAGGCCACGAAGCGAGCTTCGCCAGACGAGGATGGCGAGTTAGAATCGGGCGCCGACGATTTCGGCTGACATGATGGACTGCATGGCTTCAGACCCGTCCGCGGCAGTAACAACACCAACACCAGCTACTACAACAACAGCAACAACAGCCACAACAACAACAATAACGAGACCAACAACGAGAACAACAACAACAACAACAACAACAACAACAACAACAACAACAACAACAACAACAACAACAGCAACATTAATCACAACCACAACCACAACAATAGCCACAAACACAACAACAACAACCACAACAAAACCAACACTCATTTGGAGACTGTTCGCTCTTATCTGCTCGCGTGGCATTCAACACGTACATCCCGAACCCTCGATACCCGCCCTCTTCGTCTTCGATTGTACCCCCATTAGGGTATACTTTTCTTACTTGCAACGTCTATTTCGTGCAGCCCCTAAGGCAGGGGAAGCGAGGACGGCTGGAAGGAATGGACAAGGGGCAGGCGGGTTGCTGAAGTGTGTGTCCTGCATGAACTGCGAGGAAGTCTTTAGCGATAGTGCGATTCCCAAATGAATCTTGGAGAAATCCACAGCGAGAGCGTGATCCCTGAGTGTCGAGGGCGCGGCGTTTGAATACAACGAGAGGAAGTCCCACGCGAGATCGCGATTCCTGTATAGACTGTGAGGAAGCCCCGCGCGAGAGCACGATTCGGGAATAGATTGTGAGGAAGTATCCGGCGGGAGCCGCTGTTGCGGTAAACCAGGGGCAGGGGCACAGCTTGGTGATACTTCATTTTCCTTGGTAAAAAACAGGGTGCGAGCCCCTGGAGAGGCGCTTTGATTGAAGAGATGCAATGGTCTCCGGACAGGAGGGAGCAACAACCCTTCTTCTTTGGACGTGAGACTTCAAACAGCAACCCCCTCCCTCCCCCTCCGCCTCCTCCACCTGTCAGGCGATCGCAAACTTGGATCAAGGGGGCGTGGATCAGCGACGGGTCCCGTTTCCATGGGAAATCGCGGATGTCCGCCGCCGAACGAGGCGGCACCGGCCGCGTTTTGGGGAGGGCACCTCCCGCGATCCATGGACTTGGCGACCGCGCCCCAAATCCATGGATCGCTAATCCGTGCTGGCGCGCCCCCGAGTGAGAACTCAGACAACAGCCCTCTTCCTCCCCCTCCGCCTCCCCCACCCTTCCCCCCCCTCCGCCTCCCCCCCGCCCAACTCTCGGCATGTCTTCCCCTCCCTACTCCGAGCTTCTTCGCAAGCGTCGGGGGGGGGAGTCACCCCCGCCGACCGCCCCACGTCGACCCCCGTCGCGGGGGCAGCCACCGCGCACCGAAGGCGCCCCGACCCCCGCCGCGGCGCGACGACGAGGCGAGGTCGACCCCCGTCGGGGGGCCCCCCCCCGCGCTGATCAAGACACCCGGAGCATCCTCCCTTCCTGCCCGCTGCGAGCCCGCCCCCCCCCCCCCGCTGGCCGCCCTCCGGGCGCGGGGTGGCCCGCGCGAGGCCCGCGCGCGCCCCGCGCGAGGTCGCCGCCGGCCTCGACAGGCCTCCAGATCCGCCGTCCGGTTGGCCACACCGTGTGAGGAGTCGGTGGGGATTCGGGGTCGCCGCACGGTCTTGGGGCTGGAGTCCCGCTCCGAGGATGTCTCGGGCGACGGGGGCCTCCGGGGTCTCAGGGCCGTGCGGTGACGGGCCGTGCGGCGAGGTCTCTCGGGGTTCCGAGGTCACCGCGCAGTCTGTCACCACACGGTTTCGGGATCCCCCACAGTTCTCGCGTTTTGACCCCAGACGCCGATAGCAAGGATGGGCAACCTTCCCAAGGTTGCCCCTTCGGCCCCTCCTCAGCGGCTTTCGCTGACCAGCCTCGTTCGGAAAGCGTCGATGCGGCTCTCCAAGTCCCTTGCGTCCTTACCGTGCGTCCTTGTGATTCGGGTTGACTGCAGGGCAGAAAGTTCCGCCTCAGGAGTCCCAGCCTGGGACTTATGCGTAATCTTACCAGCCTGGAACATATCCCTATCCCTATGCAGGGCACCTCCTCATCACGATGCCGATCCTAGGGATTCCCTTTTTTTTGAGGGCGACTCCCTGAGATGGTCATCGCCTTTTGGCGTGGCAATCTTAGGGATAGGGATACGTTCGAGGCTGGCAGTAATCACCGCCTGGGGGAGCCAGTCTTCGCGGGCCTCCACGGGCGGCGGACATTGATGCATTTGGGCCACCGGGGGGGCCAAAAGGCATCCACATCTCCACCGTCCGCTGGGGACGTCGGCTCCCAGGCGGTGGGTATGGAGAAACCCGCGCCCCGCAAGGCCAGGAGGGCGGACATTTCCGCATGAGCACGTCGGCAGCAGCGGCGGCAAAGTAGGGCGCAGATCAGCACCCAAGGAGCCTGAGAAGTACAGTCAGCTCGTGGAAGTAAGGTCGGTCTATTTCGGAGTCGGAAGGGGCTCGGTGGTTCCTTCGATTCGCATGCGATGCGTTGCTCGTTTGGTGGCGAGCCCCTTCGGCTTCCTTCGGATCTTACGGCCGTTCCACTCGATTGCACGGCTGTGCTCGGAACAAACAAGCTTCGTTCCTGATTTCAGCAGCCCGACTGTCGGGGGGAGGTGCCCGCCCCACTCACGAAATCGCCTCAGGTACGGCGGGTCCGGAGTCGGGGCCTCCCGCCGCCATGCCCGGCGGGGCGTCGCCCGATGGCGACCCGGGCGGCGACGCCACGGACAGCGCATTGCTGCCCGCCGGCGCGCAGGCGAAGGGCGGCGACGCCCAGCTGCCTATCTTAGGGCGACGGGATCTACACATGGGGCGTTCCAAAAAGGGCCTTGCCTTCTCGAGTAGAAGGAGCTGTCATTTCTTCCGCGGCGGACTGGCGGCGGAGGGCCGGCGGAAGTACAACGAGGCCGCCTCCGCCGGCGGAAGCCGGCGGAAGGCCGGTGGAAGGCGGCGGAAGTAATCGGGAACCTTGAGACGGGGGTCAATGCAAACGGGGTTCAGCCAGGACACCAGATCCTGCATGATCCTGCGAAGACCCCCTCTGGCTGACCCGGGTTAGCGAGCCGCTCGTGGCCGCGAGGGCGGCCGCGCGTATTGGCTGACCCGGGTTTGCGAGGACCTGCGTTGCAGTTTTGTTTCCTGCATTGCAGATTTTGGGTTTCCGGCTGACCCGGGTCTGGATTGACACGTGTCAGAAGATCCCCGGAGTGAGCAGAAACGCCCCCAGAGATGAAAACGTTTTTGGGTTCAGGGTTTCCGAAATCCGCCACGTGCCGCCGTCCACTTTGCTCGCGCCACCGAGGCTCCGTATTGGAGCGGCGGTCCTGGCCAGCACGGGAGAGCACGCTGCCCCGGTGGGCCTCCGAGCGCTCCCCCCGGGGGCTCCCGAGAGGGTCACACGGCATGCCCGCCAACACGGGCGTGTGGCCCGCCGCCGGTTGGCAACGCAACAGAATGTATGCGGTCACCTGCAGTGGGGGCCCATGCCAAGAAGCACCCTGCTTGCCTCCCGGGTGCCCTGGGTTTCTTGGGTCTCGATGGTTTTGCCACGGAAGGCGTGACGCTCCCACGCCGAAACTCAGTGGACGTCCTGGGTCCTGGGGTCTCAGGGTTGGGCTTCTTGCGGAAGGCTTCGGTGTGGACTGGCCTGAGGCCGCTCCACAACGAAGCCTTCCACGTGCAGAGGAGGCCAGCCAGTCCACACGAGGCCGGCCCAGACGTGCAGTGGAGGCCAGCGGCCTCCGATGGCACGTGCGCTGGCCGAACCGTCGGCCCACGGCTGCCGTACCGGAGCTGCCGTGGTCGGCCTTCCGGGGCGGATAGCGCGCACACGTTGCCGGCCAGGCGTCTGGGGCCCTGGAGAGGGGCCCCAGGCCCGCGCGTGGCCCGCTCTCGCCTCTGCGGGCAGCGCCGCCGACGTCCAGGAGAAAGTCGGGCACGTCCCTCTCCAGGAGGAGTATACTCCAAAAGAGTCGAACAGGATCGTCTGGGGCCGATGGCTTCCGCTTTCTTCCAGACTCCGCCTGTAGGAGGACATGCCCGACCTAAGTCTAGAATCCGTGCCCGCGCCCATACGGTGGGGGCGTTCGTTAAGGAATGCGCTCAGGGGGCTTCAGACCCTGGAGGGTTCCTTATCTGATGAGGTCGGCAGTGATATCCACGGCCAATCCACGATTGGTGTCCCACCAGCTTCCAGACCCTGGATTCCTTATCCAATGGTTCCTTGCCCGCGCCCATACCATCCACATTCACTGACCAAGGCCTGGCCCAAACCCCGGGCCCAGGAGCGGAGTGTGCCGTCGGGACGCACCCCAAGAGGCCGAGTGATTATCGCCGGGGTATACCCTGGGCCTCCTCGCTCCGCACGCCGCGCGGTGACTTCCGCGGCCGTGGAAGGACAGCTGCTGCGCTCAGGGTGCTTTGGGCCCCCCCACCTTGGCATCGCTCGGACGACGTGTGCCTTCTTTCTCGGCGAGGTTCTTCCTCCCTCCTCCCTCCCTCCTCCTCCTCCTCCCCTCCTCCTCCTCCTCCTCCTCCTCCTCCTCCTCCTCCTCCTCCTCCTCCTCCTCTCCTCCTCCTCTTCCTCCTCCTCCTCCTCCTCCTCGCCTCCTCCCTCCACGGTCCACTCCTCCTCCTCCTCCTCCTCCTCCTCCTCCTCCTCCTCCTCCTCCTCCTCCTCCTCCTCCCCC